GCTTCTCACCCCGAGCAGCAGGAGCTGCAGCGGATTTAAACAGGAACATAATGAAGAGAGACACAGTAGAAAACAGCTCACTCCTGTATATTTAGCTAATGGACATGAGTGCACAAGTGTGTGTGTGTTCACGTGTGTGTCCTGCTTGCTGCTCCCAGAGTCCTTCATCTTGGCCCCGGCTTTTATTGACCATATTGGAGGCCATAAATCATTGTGTATGTGACTGCGGGTTTGTCTGTGTGTGTCTGTGCAGCTTCTCAGGGTGCGACTTGCTGCACACAGCAATCTCAGGTCAGAGGAGCAGCCGAGCGAGCAGTGTGTGCTTCTGTGTGGAAAAGCTGCGGCGGGGGCAACAGTGTCCAATGTGGTGAACGGGCCAAGGGACAAGATGTAGCCGACCGTTTCACACCATCTTCCCACAGAAAAGTACATGTGCTCCACGTCCACAGCACCGTCAGGCACCAGTTACTGCGGCCTCACAGAGATGCAGCTTTCCTGCAGATAGTGGGCGGTACACTTTTTTTTTTTCCTTTTGTTGCTACAGCCTACTTTCAAATCTCTCTGCATCTTTTCATCAGCTTTTTTCCCCCTCAAGGGTGGAGGTGCTTTAGTATAGTTGGTGTTGAACTAGATTTGACATTAACAGCCCTCCATTAACATTTCTCATAGAGTTACTGGAGTGAGCAATCCAATCAGGCACTCATGCAGACAACCTGAAGATGCAGCCTTACAAACAGTCATGTGCAGCAACACATGAAATCAAAGTCTCAACCTTTTACATTCCAAAGCATCTTTGAGAAGAAAGGTTTTAAAAGAAGCTGGGCTGCAGTCCGGCTTTAAAGACGTGTCGTACTGCAACACCCTGCATGTCCATTTCTAATTTCAAAGAAAGAAAGTTAGACTCCCAGGTTGGATCATAACTGAGCGAAGCTCACACCGTGCATCAAATTCATCGTCCTTAAAATATTGAGGCCAATTATTCATGCTTTCCATTCCATTGTTTTTAATAATGCATAAAATAAGCAAAGCAAACTGAGGCAGTGCTGCTCTCCTCCAGCAGCTTTGAGATTAAAAGCAGGCAGAGATGAGCATAAAATAAACCTCCGGCCCAAAGAACAGAAACTTTGGAAATTCATTTTCACCAGAGGTGGATGTCTCTCCTAATTAGCTTATGCAGAAATTCCCAACGTGACACATGATGCTAGGATGTGTTCTGGTACCTTTCTATTATTATTTGTCACAACATTTTAGATTCTTCCCACAGCCAAACCACATCTATTGATCTTCTCCTTGTTTGGTCAGATTACAGCTACACACTCAGTTACTCTTATATCGTTCAACAGTTTGTCCACCAACTGAGTTCAGCTGAACGTATTTTTGTCCATTTCTCCTTACAAAAGCCATTTTGTAGAGCTTTGACTCTTGGTAAAATTTAAATCTAAATTTAATTTGGCTAGATAAATAAATCTGATCCTTTAAAATGATGCAATAGCGTTTCACTGATGTGCTTTAATAAAAACCTTTAACTTTTAGCAGGAAAACAGGATCCAAGTCAGTAAAACACGGATCGGATTGTCACCATCTGACTGGAAGGAGAGAGTTTTTCAGGGGAGGGGCTGCCTAGTGGTTATGGCGTAGAGCAGAGGTCTTCAACAGGGGGTCTGCAGAGGTACTGCATGGGGGTCGCAAAGTTTTGGTTAATTAGACTTATATTCCTCCCTGCAATTTTTTCCACTAATTGAAATGTCTTTAAATCCACATTAACATGAATCCAACAGACTGTAGTAAACAGATAAATGGAGGCAGAAGATGTCTTTCAGTCATCGATGCAGATCTGCGTTTCTGAGTAAAAATAAGTCAAATATCTGACAAAAGAGTGGAAATTAGAAGATAATATAAAA